CAACAACAACAACAACACAACAACAACAACAACAACAACAACAACATCTACAACAACAACAACATCTACAACTACTACTACTACTACTACTACAACAACAACAACTACTACAACAACTACTACAACAACAACAACAACAACAACAACAACAACAACAACAACAACAACAACAACAACAACAACAACAACAACAACAACAACAACAACAACGAATAAACGATTGTGACACTCACGAACGAGTTGATTGGGAGGATGAGTTGCCCGCTTCAAGACTCAAAGGCCCAAATTCCGTGAAACAGGCGCGTTTGAATTGCGATCACTTTTGGCCTTGCGCGAGCCGTTTTAAGTCGTGAGCGTGCAAGGCAATGCAAGTCAAGCCTTTCCCTTGCTGACTTTTCTGGGAAGTGATCAGCCTCTTATCATCTGATGACGATGTGAAGTGACAAAGACAGATGAGCTGCACCTTGCACTGCATTGCGCATAGCCAAGAGCGGCGAGATTGCAGCTTGCCCATCACGCCCATAGAGTTTGCTCGTTTGCTCGTTTGCTTGTTTGGTGTGCGCGTTCATTTTCAACCAAGCACCAGCAATTCCACCATCCCAGCTAACTGGCCAAGTCATCGACGAACGCACATCATTACAAGATACACACCGCAACCTCAGCCAGCACAGCGTTGCGCCACTGGGCATCACAGTGCATCATGCCGCAGACGTACGAGTTTGACACTGAGCCATATCTGATTGACGAGGAACGTCAGCGTCAGCTGAAAGAACTGCAGCTGGAGCGCGAGCGGCGCAGGAAGCGGCGCCGTTGTGGCCTCTTCTTCTGCGTTGGCATCATCGCCGTTGCGGCAATCTGTGCGGTGCCCATCATCTACGTTTCACGCCCGCCAGCGAAGGAAAACGACAACGACGCGTCTCAAGATAGCACGTCCAATACGGACACGGAAGCAGCTATTCAGACAGAGGCCGGGTGCACGCAAACCTGCGAGGAGCACATACATGAGTGTGTGGGCATGGTAAGTGAAAACAGCAGAGAAAAGATGGTCTTGCTCACTGTTGTGTGCTCCTCATTCATTTGTTCACTGATGCATGCATGTAGCCCATGCATTCATTCAGCTCTGCTCAGTTGCTTCTTGTTGCTCTTGTTGAGTGTAGACACGCCTTTAGGCCCTTTGCTCCTTTGTCACTCTTGACACACGCACTCGCTCCCAGAGTCCACAGGCCTTTGTCTGCACCTCACTCTTCTCTACACCCACCTCACCTGATACCCTTGTTCCCTTTATGTGTGACATCGCTTCCAGAGCGTTGGTGGTGTCTCCCTGGATGACTTTGTTTCATGCCTCACACGGGACGAACACCATACGACGGTCGCGCTGCTCTCACTGGGCGCGTGCATGTCAAGCTGCGAGGATGGCCCATGCGGCAGTGTCACCGGCCCTGTCGAAGAACTACACAAGCTACAGTGCTGGTACGAATCGATTCCTGGCTTGGTTGCTCTGGTTGCATTGGACTCGAAATGCCATGTGTCTTCTGCTATGAGAGTGAACACTTCTCGATCAGTCAGGAGGATAGTTTGCCTACACTGCTTTGCTCCGGTTAATCACATGTCGCTCACAATAATGCTGCGCGATGGTGCTTGCACACACTTGCAGGGAGCGCTGTGCGTTTGCAGCCGCGGACGTGAACTGTGATCTCACAAACGCAACGAAGGCGACTGGGTCCGCAATGTCTTCAACATCCACTGCACACGATGGAAAGGGTGCGGCATCCACGACAACGTTCAGCAGCACAAGCAGCTCCAGTACCTTCACAAGCACAAGCACCAGTACCACAAGCACGCCCACTGCGACAGCAACGCCAACAAAGAAGGCGACGACCAGTGAAGCGGCTACAACGTCAACCACGAGTGCAGCAACAATGGGTACAACAACCACAACAACAACAACAACAACAACTACAACAACAACAGCGAGTTCACCAACAACAACAACAACAACAACAACAACAACAACAACAACAACAACAGCAAGTTCAACAACAACAACAACAACAACACGCACACACACACACACACACGAACACACACACACACGAACACACACACACACACACACACACACACACACACACACACACACACACACACACACACACACACACACACACTCACACCACGATCACATGAGGGAGCAGAGGCAAGACGACTGGTGCAGATGCTGAGCGGCGTGGTGTGGCTTCTTGCTACTAGGAGCACTGGCGCGTCGTCGAGCAACACGCTGCAGGCGGGCAAACGCTGTTTGTGTGGCATCGTCTGTGTCGCCGAGAACAGCAACGATCATGGCATGCGCAATCTTGAACGTGCGCGCCGCCGCCTTGAGATCGCCCTTGTGCTCGTACATGATGCCCATGTTCGTGTGCGCTTCAGCGGTGCGGAGGTCGTTGTCGCCAAGAGACGCGCGATAAGCCGTGATTGCGCGCCTGTAGCAGCTCTCGGCCTGGCTGAAGTCGCCCTTCCGTGTGTATGCGCCTGCCATGTTGTTGTAAGTGTCGGCCGTGTCCGGGTGTGCCGGGCCAAGCAGTTGCATCTTGATGTCAAGCTCGGCGTGGTGGTGCTCCAGCGCGGCTGCATAGTCGCCCTTATCGCTGTACGCGTTGGCCAGGTTGCCGAGGGTCGCTGCCGTGTGCAGGTGCCGATGCCCGACGTTGGCGATGGTGATCTTGAGGTCCTTGAGCAAGCACTGGATGGCCGCGTCGTGGTCGCCCGTGCTCTGGTAGGTGAGGCCGAGGTTGTTGTACGATGCGGCCGTGCTGGGGTGCGTCTCGCCAAGACTGCGGCGGCGGATGCTCAGGGCCTTATGATGGTGCTGTGTGGCGGCAACGCTGTCACCCGTGGTCTCCAGCAGGAGGGCGAGGTTGCTGTATGTGGTGGCGGTGCTCGGGTGCTGTTCGCCGAGCACGCTGCGCTTGATGTTGAGGGCCTGGTGGTAGTTGGTGATGGCCTGCTCAAAGTCGCCTTTCGTCATGAACACGGTGCCGAGGTTGTTGTACATGCACGCTGTGCCGGCGTGCCTTTCACCAAGCACCTTCCGCGTGATTGCGAGGGCGCTGGTGTAGTGTGCGATGGCGCGATCGTGCTCGCCAAGCGCATCCAGCACTGACCCCAGCTGATGCTGCAACTGTGCCAGCTCAAGCGTGTCCTTGCCACCAAGATCCTCCACGTTCTGCACGAGCGCCTGTCCATCCCCAAGGCACCATGCGCGCATATCGTCCTTGGCATCCTTCGAAATACACGCGAACAGTCTCGCGTTCTGTGTCGCGTCGAAGATGTCTTTTATGCACTTGAGCGTGTCCCTCGCGCCTTCGCTGCCTGTCGACGTGCCAAAAGTAATGTAAGGCTGGGGCATCGCACAGGTGGCTACCAATCCCGCTGTTGCTGCTGTTGCTGTTGCTGCGCGCGCGTGTTTGGTCGGATACCCTGCGGGGCTGGCGTAGCTGCCCTGGCTGCTTGGCGTGGTGTCATCATTAGCATCACGCGCGATGCCATGCAGGCCATCGTCTGCACTTGCTTCGCTGCCCTGAGCACTGCTGCCAGGGACGGTCCTGGCGTGGCTGGAAATGCCGGCTGCGATGCACTTGAGGTGCTGTGTATGCTTGTTGTGCGTGCTGGTGGAGTAGGCGGATGCCATGAGCAGGCTGCCTAGCTCTTCTGTCGCAAAGCACGGTGTTTCAAGGTCGGATGTGCTTGTTGCGCCCGCGAGTGCGTCCAGGCTCGACAGGTCCAAGGAGAAGGTCGAGGACAGGCGAGAGGCGGAAAGGCACGTAGCGTCCAGCACGCGGCTGTTGGCAGCCTGTGATTTGGCGGACATGGCGGAGAGGGACAGGAAGCTAAGGCACCCTTGCAAAACGGACGTGCTGTGTGATGTGGGCGGTCAATGGAACATTGTAGGGCTGTTGCGGTGTCTTGCTTTGGTGGTGAGCACTTGAATGAGTAGTGACGCTTGCGTTGAGTGGGGAAGGCGTTGGTCTGTTGGTCTGTCGTGGTTGTTGGGGGTGCTGTTATTGCTGTGTAAATGCACGCCTGTGTTGTATCGTTGCAGTTCTGCTACATACTGTGCAAGTGCTGGGCTTGGCAGGCCATTGCACTTTGCCACTTGGCGTGGGGACAAGGCACTGTTGCATGTCAGTTTGCTGGTGAGCCTGTTGGGCTTGCTAGCGATCACCCTCGCTCACAGGCTAATTCATGACGCAGGTGGCAAGTTTGATTCGTGCACCTTGCTGTGTGCTTCCGAGAAAGAGGAGAGAGTCAAAGTTCAACACAGTGGCAAGTGGCCCACTTTCATGGAAGCAGGTGCCCACTGTGTGTCATTGCGTGAAACAAGTGCGTACTGGCACCACGTGCGGCTGACACGGGCTTCTCCTTCCTGACAGGGGGGGGGGGACGTAAGGACGTATGTGTGCGGGGTTTATGGGGTGACATGATAGATAGGGTGACATGCTCTGACACGGACAAACCGCACAAAGCGAAAATGCGTATGCAAGGAGGACTGTCAATCAGTGGTTTTTGACGATGTGAAATTAAATTGCGTGTGACAGTGAGAAGAAGAGCGAAAGAAGGGGAGTAGCAACCAAACGCAAAGAAGCGCAGGCACCCCCCAAACAAGCGAACATGATTTGATGCTGTGCGGGCCGAATGGCAGGGCACTGCTCAGGCACGGCTAGGGCACAAGAGAGCCCAAAAGCCCGAACGATTATTTCCACTGCTCGTACAACTTGTACGTAGTTCTGTAGTTCAACTGTTCAAGAACACAAGTAGAACAAGACAACACAACTACGGAGAGCTTGTCTCCTTATCTCTCTGTCTCTCCCTCTCTCCCTCTCTCCCTCTCTCCCTCTCTCCCTCTCTCTCTCTGTGTGCAGTACACTGGCGACACAAGAGGCACAGTCGGTGCCCTCCTGTCGTTTGTTGAAACACACACACACACCAAAAAAAAAAAGAAATGCGCACCCAACAGGATTCGAACCTGTGCGGGCAGAGCCCAAACGATTTCTAGTCGTTCGCCTTAACCACTCGGCCATGAGTGCAAGTAACAACATCAACTGTGTTGCTATTCTCGTGCAGAAATTGTCTTGTTCATCTCTACTCCACTCCTGCAGGCATACACATTGACAGCTTTCCACAAAACAATCCATCCTTCCTCACCACAAACCAAAACCACCACACACACCACACAGCACCACACCATGTCGTCCACTTCGACCAATGGAAGCGCCTCCGCTGCAGGGACAACAACGGCAGCCGCCCGCCGCACCGTGAAGCAGCACCCAAACTCCCACCTCAACAACCCAAGCAGCCTGAACCTGCTGCAAATCCACGAAGCCAGCCACAGGCAGTTTGTGCGCCTTCTCCAGGCCCTCCAGAACACCCGCAAGGTGTGATGTGATACACACTTACACACAGGATACAGCCTGAGCGGAGTTGAGGAGTTGAGGGAGTTGAGGGAGTTGAGGGAGTTGATTGCTGCTTTGTTTGAGAGCGGCGTGGAGAGGGGGGGGTATGTTGCGCGAGCACTTTTGGCTTTGCACTCTGCGTGAATCGTGCTGTGCTGTGTTGTGTTGTGCTGTGGTTTGGTGTGCTTGTCTGTGTCTCTGTGTATGTCTGTATCCAATGTGTCCATGTCATTCTACACACACACACACACATTCTCTCTCTCTGTCTCTCTTCTTCTGCGCTGTGATTTGCTTTGTTTTGGTGTGTTACAACGTCCACAGGAAGCCCCTGCTGCGCTCATCTTCGATGACTTTACATATGAGCTCATTCTTCGCATAGTGCCAGAGTGCCGAGTGAGTGCAGTGTGTCTTGCTCGTCTGCACGCTTGCTCATCTGCACGTCCGCACATTTCCCCGTGCGCATGGTGGGCCTTGGTTTGGCTTTGTACAGAACACTCCGCCCTGCGCTGCGTGGACCCTGTGTACAAGGGCACGTGTGCGTGTGTGTGTGTGTGTGTGTTGCATCCTCATGTCGATGTTCACCTCGAGCTTCTGCTGCTCTGCCACCCACCGTCGCTGACGCCCCCCCCCGCCTTCTGTCATGCTCCTCGTCTTCCCCTTCCTCCCCCTCCTTTCTCAGCCGGTTCTGATTTGACAATTGCGAAGATTCCACAGCTGAGGATGAAGGGGCCACCTGAGTAGCTTGCAGCAAATCATGATGCGTTCAGTGCGCTCATATGCTTCCGCTCTTCGCCGGGACTTTGCAATGAAGGCACCCAAACAGGCCTCAACAGCCTTCAGGGTGTGTTGCTTCTGTGCTTCCGTGCTTCTATGCTTCCATATGCCTGTGGAACATGGGTTGGGCGCCCAGTACCTGCCGCTTTGTGTGTGGATGTGCCTCGACCACCTTGCGCTACCACACACACACACACACACACACACACACACACACACACACACACACACACACACACACACACACACACACACACACACACACACACACACACACTCACTCACACACAGGCACGCATGCAATGTTTTGTTTGCTGAGCACTCTGTGCTGTTCCACTCTCATGCTGCCACCTAGGCGCTGCCTCGGAGCGGACAATACCATCTTCCCGGTTTTGTGCACCGCACCGCACAACGCCATGCCAAAGGGAAAAGCTAAAGGTTTCCCTGCGTCATCCTCCTTGTTTGTGGTGCATGCGTGCTGGGCCTCGCGATGGATGTGCGGGTGCCATTGTCTGGACTGCCTTACGGCCACGGGCCAGAACCTTGTGCGTGTGTGCGTGTGCGTGCGTGTGTGCGTGTGTATGTATGTGTGCGTGTGTGTGTGCGTGTGTGTGTGTGTGTGCCCGTGTAACCCTTCTTCTCCTCGATGCACAAGCGTAGCCCCTCCACTCTTCCTTGTTCTTTCGCGTTTCTTATTCGCTTCGTGCCTTCTCCAATCATTCCCTTGGGCAAACGCTCTTCTAAACGAATTTTGAACGAGGCGTGACGATGGCTCACGATGATGAGATGTAATGGTCGCTTAAAGTAAACACACACACACACATACAAGCATCTGGGTTCAATTGTAGCCATGAAAGCATGAAGAAGCGAGATAAACGCGTATAAACACCCCAGCCCCTCGCACAATCACACATTGTCGCAGTCGCAGTGTTCAAGCACCCACACGTGCGAGACGAACAGCGGCAACGAGACAGTGGATGGTCTCCTCAGCTCGACGTCCGACACCTCCATGTACTCTTGGGCTTGCTCTTCCAAGTCTCGGGGAACCGTGTAGCAGAAGCTTCTGCTGCCTGCAGCATGTGCCCTCAAGTCATTGCTGCTGTAGTAGACCAAAGCGGCATCCTGCGCTGTCGAGAAAGACGAGGACGTGCTGGTTGACCTTGCTGCACATGCTGTGATGTCTTGTATTGGTCGCACGCTGGTGGCGTCGCTGTTCTTCCTGCTCTTGGCATTCTTGTTGGTCGTGTTGGTCTTCTTGTTCTTCTGGTTGTGCGTGCTGCTCTTGCTGGTGTCGTGGCACTTGTTCTTGGTGAGGGAGAGGTTGGCTGGCAAAGTGTTGCGCACCCGCTCCCACACCGTGCGCAGGCTGGACCATGCAGTTGCGGCCTTTCTCCTTCGTGGCAGGCTGCAAGACGGCACAGGATGCACAGCGTGGCTGGCGCAGTCACTCTTCTCAGCATCCAGAGAGTCGCCTGCGACACAGCTAGTGCGTGGAAGGGCGTGCATCGTGGCTGAAGCATCCGATGTGTCGTCTGGAGGGCTGTAAGCCGCATTGCCCACAGTGCCGTACACGGCCTGGAAGATGTCCTCGTCGGCCAAATCCTCGTCCACGTCGCTGTCGCTGTGAACAGCCGTGGAGATGGAGCTCATGCTATCTGTGCTTCGTGGCAGGATCGTCTTTGAACGCCAGGGCTTTGCGTGCTCCGCAGCAAGGTCGTGCACGCTGCACAGCGCGTCGGTGCTGGTGTGGGTCCAAACGGGCCAGAAGATCGCATCTGCACACATGTTGCTGTTGTGTTCGCTGTGGTCGTTGTGGTCTTGCACTTGTGTTTGGGTGTCGATGTTCTTGCGTGGGGCTGTTGGGCTGATGCTTTCTCGGTGATGTTGGCGCGAGCGTGTTGTTGTTCAAACTCGTTGTGAAAATAAACTTGTCAATCGGGAAGATCAAGCGAATGAGCGAATGAGAGGGTGTGCATCATCTCGGATCTGTGGTTGTTAGTTAGTTGCAGTGCTTTCGCAAGATTGCAGGAGGATTCCGACGCGCTCTGCAAAGCAGTTGACATCTTCCTTCGTCCAAATTCAAGTCACGAGTAGTATTTCACGACGCATTGCAGTGTGTTCCTTCGTCCAAATTCAAGTCACGAGCAGGCTTCCCGATTCCAAGAATCACCACATCATACGTTTGCGTAGAACGAACCAAACAACGAAGACAGGGACCACTTCCGAGAATGTGCGTCATGACGGGAAAATTGGGTGATATCTTCAGCAATTCAAATGAAAGTGACATACATCATAGTGTGACGATGATGTGCATTGCAAACGCTTTCGTGCACATTGCAAATTCCAGGAAGCCGGCGATTCGCCGAATCACCACCGTTCGAGCCCCCCACCTCATCACACACACGCGTGCATGAAGTTGCCCTTCTCGCTCGCACCTCAAGAGCAAGCTGCCCACCATGCTTTGCCCGAGAAGAGAGTGTCAATGCGTTCATTTTTCTCAACTGCGTTTGGAACACCCCTCAAGATACAACTCAGAGCTGACGACCACCGTCTTCTCCCAAGTAGTGATCAACGACGACAATGCCTTCCCAGCAACATCAGCGCCTCATCGCAGGCATCAAGTGCGCCTTTGATGCGCTCGACGTCTGTGTGCCCTCGAACGCCATCGACAACATCGCCCACCTCGTCGTGACTTCAATGACGGGCCCACACCGCGTGTACCACGCCGTCGCACACGTCTTCGACGTCGCACCCAAGGACATCGCACAAGACCCTGTGGCTTACCTCGCCGCCATCTTTCACGACGTCGTCTACCTGCAGCTGGACGGCGGCATTGCGCCCTTCTTCCTGCCCATCCTCCAGCGCGCACGCCTCCTGCCCGTGCCCCACGCCCACAACCTCCCCTTCACCACCAACGAGACCACAACAACAGCAGCAGCGGCGGCGCAGGCACAGGCCAGTGACAACTCCAGTGTGCAGGCCATTGTGTCATCTCCACAGCTAGTTGCGAGCTCGCCTGCTGGTGCGCTGCAGCGTGCATTTGCCCTGAGCAACCCCGCCGAGCTCGCCCTCATGGCAGGCGAGGTCATTAGCGAACACCAACACACAGACAACTTGGCGCTTCTCCCAGCGCAATCAGGCATGGCCAGGGCACGGAGCACCAGCAGCTTGGACAGCATGTGCTCTCGCGCAACTGCAACCACAACCACAACCACAACCACAACCACAAGCGACAACCAGGATGCGGACACGCTCGCACCAACGGACACGATGAGCAGCGCCCTGCAGACAACACAGTCTTGGTGGAGCCAGGATGACAGCAGTGCCGATGTTGCAGCAATGCCTGCACGACGACGCACGGCTGCGCACCGCATCTGCTACAAGGTGTTTGGGCACGTGCCCGGCGAGACACTGCCGTTCGAGATTGGCGCGCAGGGGCTCAACGAGTTCCTGAGCTGCGTCGTTGCTGTGGACATGCTTGCGCCCTTCCTGGACGAGATGCAGCTGCTGCACCTGTGCGTGTGCATTGAGGCGACCATTCCCTTTCGCACTCAGCACAGCGTCGACATGCTGTACACCCGGTGCGTGGCCGTGGCAACAGAGGACCTGCTCCTTGCCCCTGCGCATGCTGCCTTGGCAGCGCGCCGCATGATGCACAGCGCGTGCCAGATGGCCGCCCGCGACGTGGGCAACTTTGCGTATGCAGACACGCGCGGGTTCCTGGCCAACACGTGGAAGCTGCTGCCTGAGCTCAACCCCGCCCTGCGCGACGCCAAGGCGATCGCCGTCCAGGATTGGATGGCGGCGTTGGCGGGCAACTGGGGCTTCTTCGACTTCCTGCAACACAACCCAGCGCTCATTTTCCCGCACTTTGAGGGCTGCCGCACGCCAGAGCAACAGCAGCAGTTGGAGGAGCAGGCCGTGCGCAACCTGCAGCGAGGCCGCGCCTACCTTGGCGCACGCCTGCTCAGCGCCAGCATCGTGCACGCCTTGGCGGCCCAACAGGACACGCAAGCTGTGCAGCTCCTTGCACACGACAGCAGCGACAGCGATGCAGAAGAGCGCACGTTCGACTTTGAGGATGGGCGTGCAGGCTGTGTGGCATATGTGAAGGAGCTGTTGGGGGCTGGCTTTGATGAGGTGATGGGTGACTCCGTATGCGTTGCGCAGACATCATGCAATGTGTCCCTGCGTGTGCTCGAGTGCCTGGAAGAGCTGCATGGAGGAGACAGCGCTGAGGCTGTGCTTGGTGGTTGCGTGAAGCAGTGCGTGGCGTTTCACAAGGGGGAGATGGATGCTTCTTCCTTTGTGCGTGGTCTGCCTCGGGCTGTTGTCAATGCTGTTTCCTTCTCGCCATGACAGACACTAAACTACACCCAAACAGAAGAACAAAAATGATCTCATGTTCACGCCAGCCTGTTCATGGTGGAGTGCAGTGGTGGATTGGGAGTGGGGGAGACACAGAGGCAGAGTGAGTGAGTGATGTGAGTGAGTCAAGCTCCTAGAAGCTCGGATGCTTGTCAAAGCGTGCTGGGTTGCCGTGAGGGGGTGTAGGCGGAAGGACGCAGGTGTGAAAATCTTTGAAAGGTTTGCGTGAAATGTCCACAACCACAACAACAAGCGCCCAAGCAACTGTGACAACAACGCACTGCTTTGCTTGCTTGTCCTGTGTGTTCGGTGGTGTGTGTGTGTGTGTGTGTTGAAAGCCATGGCCACCCTCTTGGAAGGCGTGAGTGCTGACCTCGCGGCTTTGGCTGCGGAGGCAAGAAAGAAGAGTCCAGCTCTGAAAATGGTTTGTGGCTGTGTGTGTGTGTGTGTGTGTGTGTGTGTGAGTGTGTGTGAGTGTGTGTGTGAGTGTGTGTGACGATGTTGTTCATTGTAGTCACCTGCCCACAGTATGCCTGGGCAGTTACGTGGTCTTCACCATCTCATCTGTCCTGCCTGCGTGGCTTGGCCGTGTGCGGTGACGTGGTGACGTTTTGTCGCAATGACATGACTACCTTGTGTCCGACGTGTATGTGCAGAAAGCGGAAGGTGCCATGATTCGCATTCGCAATGCTTCCGTGGCAAAGGCAGACAACGTACCCGAAGGTGAGCGAACAATGCACCTTACCCTGGCCTCTTTTCAATGTCATCTCATCCTCGCTGTTGTTGAGTTAACAGTCGATTGCGCCTGTTCTCAGATGCCTCGACTTGTACATCCTTGCCGATCAAGCTCACAACAGCGCCTTGCTTCGCAATACCTGCTCCATGTTACGCTATGTTTGTCAAAGCTATTGCTGCTGCTCGCGATGTTCTCCAAACGTTCATCGTTGGCTGTGAGGAAATCAAGGTGCCCAAGGCCGTTGCCATCAGCGTTGCAGGCATCCATCGCCTCATTCAACACAACGCCGTGCACGTGGTTCGTTTGCGAGACGGTGCACCAGTCGCAGCTTGCCATGTGCGTGCGTGTATGAGCTTTTCCAAAGCTAACCGTCGTGGCTTTTGTACTTGTCCTTGCTTACATGCCCTTGCTTACACAACTGTCTGTCCTTGCGCAGGAGTCTTTCCCGATTGTGTTGGACTCTTTGGAGAAGTTGAGAGACGCAGGCCTGGAAGAAATCAAGGTGTGTGCGTGTGTGAGTGCGTGTGTGAGTGCGTGTAGGGTTTGGTGCTGTGCTGTGTGTGCGTGCTGTGTGTGTGTGTGTGTGTGCGTGCGCGTGCGTGCGTGCGTGCGTGCGTGTGTGCGTGTGTGCGCGCGCGTGTGTTGCGCCTGTGGCTTCTTGTTGTTTTTGTTGTTCGTGTTCAAACTTGCTGGGTGCTGCTGGATCTGCTCAACGTGCTGACTGGGGTTTGTGCCTCCTTTTCCCTGTCATCTTCGCCAACATGCATTGTGCACGGCGTTTGGAAACCAGGTACTGCAATGCGTGCTGAGCCTGGTCACCACAACCCCGCAGCTGGTGGACAAGGCCCTTGCACGTGCGTGCGTGCTGTGCTTTTCACTCCACTTTTCCCGCGACAGCACCACAGCGGCAATTGCCGCCGCCACCTTGCGCCAGATCACGACAGCCGTGTTTGACCGCGTCGTTATTGAGGATCAGATGCGAGGTGCACATCCGCGCGCGCACGCGCGTGTGTGTGTGTGTGTGTTTGTGTATGAGTTTGCTTGTTGCGGCTTGTGTGCACGTGTTTCAGCTTGTGTGCACGTGTATGTGTGTGTCTTGAGACACATTGCGTGTGAGCTGGGGCGTAAGCATACTTTGTATGCCACTGCAGTGCTCTTTCACTCATGCCTGTATTGCATTGACCTGGGCAGAAACGCACGGCGAGTCATCAACGCTGCATGCCAGTGACGGTTTCATGCTCTTCCAAGTATGGTGCTTGTTGGTCTCTTGTCTGTGCGTGCGCTCTTGTGTGTGTGTGTGTGTGTGTGCGTGCGCTCTTGTATGTGTGTGTGTGCACGATGAAAGGTTGTGGATGAGAAAGCCACGTGTAATTACATGTGTGATCACTCGTGTGATTACGTGTGCGATTACGTGTGCGCTGTTATCCAGCCCTGTTTGTCCCTCCCAGTCTTTTGCTTTTTGCTCACAGCTCCCTGCATTCCGACTTCACGTGTTGAAACCCGTCAGGACTTTTGCCTTCTCACGAATGGCGATGCCCCAATATGGCTGCAAGGTCCACATCTCCTGCGTGCGCATGTGTGTGCGTACGCGTGTGTGTGTGTGCGTGCCTAGCTTGTGGTGAAATGCAGTTGGCAAGCTCACTCACATTGTCACTACCATGACTGTTGCCTCGTGTACAGGACTGTCTGACATGACGCGGACGCTCGGGCTGGAGCTGATGGAGAGCGCCCTCATCTCCCATCCAGCCGTGTTTTGCAAGCACGATCGTGAGTTGCATTCGGCACGCGTACGCAGGCGTTGAAGGAAGAAGCGTGCAAATCATGACATAAGGGTTTGCGTAGTGTGTGTATGTGTGCGCGTGGGTTGGTTCGTGTTAACGCGTGTGTGTGTGTGTTTGTGCGTGTGTGTATGTGTGTGTGTGTGTTCAGTCAAAGCCACATGGTTCAAGTGCGCCTACAAATGCACGCACCCACGCGTCGTTCCGCTCTCACTGTGATGATGCATGTCCATGAACCGCCAGCGTATGCCAGCCTCATTAAGCAGCGGGTGTGCTCCCTCGTCATCAAGCTCTCTTCACCCACCATCTCTGTAAGGCGCTGTAGTTCGTGGTGCATGGTAAATATGTGTGTGTGCAGTGCGCGCAAGCGAGTGCTTGCGTGCGAACGTATGGGTATGTGTTGTATCGTTCATCATGTCACTTCCTCAACCACATTTTCTTCCACAATGGGCCCACGGCTCACATTCCCACCACCATCACCATCACCACCACCATCGCCACCAACACCACTTACACCATCACCATCACCACCACCAACACCACCAACACCATCACCACCATCACCACCACCACCACCACCACTAACACCATCACCATCACCACCATCACCACCACCACCATCACCATCACCACCATCACCACCATCACCACCACCACCAACACCACCATTGCCACAACATCCGCAGGCGCCGATGACACGTGCGACCGCACCGCTGTTCCCTGTCGCCATCCGCCTCTTGCGTCTCATCCACACCCTCATCTCCGCCTACCACGACCTGCTTGGTCCGGAGAGCGAGATCTTCCTCAGCATGTTGTGCAAGTTTCTGCAGCCCGACAAGCTCCTGTGGCACCGCGTCGTTAGCCTGGAGGTGGTGTTGCCTCGATGCATGCATGCTTGATGCTTGATGATGGTTGATGCTTGCGATGGGTGCAACGTGCTTTGCGATGGTTAATGATAGCGTGGTGATCGTTGGCGGAGAGAGGTTGTTTGTGAATCGGTGCCCGTTTGAGACTGTTTCATTCGCCTGGTGTCCTTTGCTTGTCTTGCATTGAATTCATGCATGGAAGTCACAGCCTGCCCACGTACCCCGTGTTTCCGTTTCCCTTCTCTGCCAATGGTTCACAGGTGGTTCACGAGATCTTCAAGTCGCCGCCGGTGCTCATGGCGTTTTTCGAATCTCCTGAAATGCATGCGCAGTCTGTGGATGTCTTCAGTGAGCTGGTAGGCACGCGCGTGCGTGCGTGTGTGTGTGTGTGCGTGTGTGTGTGCGTGTGTGTGTGTACATGTGTGTTGGGAGAGTGGGTGAGAATTTTAGTGTGTGTGTGTGTGTGTGCGTACGTGTGTGTGGGTGTGTGCGTGGTGCATGAACGCATTTCGCTCATGTACGACCGTGGTGTGCTTGTATTGGTCCCAGGCGTCGCAAATCAACAACTTCATAGCAGAATGTCGTGACGGCCACGAGAGCGCAGCGCAGCACCTGCCCGTCACCGCTCCGCCACTACACCTCTCCCTCATGGACAAATCAGAGGCCCCGCAGGTCGTATGCACTTTGTGTGCATGGGCGTGTGTGTGATGTGTGCATGTGGTGTATGTGTGACGTGTGGTGTATGTGTGACGTGTTGTGTGTGCATGTACGTGTCTGCTTGTATCTCTCCAAGCACGTGCACATGTGGAATCTTGTCTCCTGCCTTTGTCTCACACGAATGCACTCGTGGACGTTGTGTTGCCCTGCGCGCGTATTCCACATGGTTTTGCAGATTTCGCACGGGTACATATTGGCACTCTGCTTCTCGTCCCTCATCGCTCTCACGAAATCGCTCTCATCTCTCGTTCAAGTCCGTGCATGCGAGAACACTTGGCGGGCCTGTGATGTGCGTGCTTGCGTGCGCGCGTCTGTACACTCAGTGGTGTTGGCAATTAGGAGTGGGGTCGCTGCCCTTCGCACACTCATTTGCGTGTCACATTCAAGTGTGTTCCCACATCTCACATGACCCACGACACTTCACATTTTCCCGCGTGACACGTCCCATATGGCACATGACACATGACGCATCGCAGCCGCATGGGCGGCGTGACGGCGGCCGTGGGTCGACGTCGTCAGCGCAGGATGTGTTCTCCCCTGCACACACACCGGCCAACCAGCCGGGGCCCGGCTTTGAGTTTGGGCAGGAACAACAACAACAACAACAACAACAACAACAACAACAACAACAACAACAACAACAACAACAACAACAACAACAACAACAACAACAACAACAACAACAAGGCTGTATGAGTCCAACAACAGTGCTTGCAAGCAATAGTCGTCAACGGGCGAAAATGCTGTTTGACTGTGTGTGGAATCCCGTTTTGTCCGGGTTTTCCATGCTTCTTGTCTGCCTCTCCAACGAAACCATGGTGGAAAAGGTGTTGAGGTGCGTGCAGAGGAGGAAACGTGCATGTTTATGTTTGTTTGAGTACATGCGCTCTCTCATTCGTGTGTTGCATGAGTGCTCACCATGTTAACCTTCTGCATCATGCAAGACGGAATTCCTCACATGTGTGTGTGTATGTGTGCGGGTTCAGAGCGGTTCAAAGCGCGATTCGCATCTGCTGCACTCTCAACCTCAAACACCAGCGGTAGGCTTCATTGCTTCCACCATCCTGCCAGCGGCTGAGTTGCGCTTCCTCTTCCACCACACACACACACACACACACACACACACACACACACACACACACACACACACACACACGCACACACACACACACACACACACACACACACACACACACACACACACACACACACGCACGCACACATTCTCTCTCTCTCTCTGTGAACCCTGGACTCATTTACGCTCAACACCTCCGTGGCCACAGAGATGCGTTTCTGACGGCGTTGTGTACCGCGTCGCTGCCAGCCAATTATTCCTGGTCAACAGACCCGCCCCCACAAGGATGGCAGGTGTGTGTTTGCGTGTGTGTGCGTGCGTGTGCGTGTGCGTGTGTGTTTGTGTTTCATTCACACGTTACGGTATTTGCTTCCCCCTCGTATTTCTGTGTGTTTGGTTTAATACTGTGAGTTGCACAATACCACAACCCGACATGCATGCATGCGCTTTGTCTTTGTCGTTGTCAACACCACATGTTCTCGTCTCACGACGACGGCCACTACCACTATCGCCGTCAACAACGTTTCAGGTGTCGAACAAGAACCTGCACGCGGTGCACATTCTGCTCAATTCTGCGCTGTGCATGGGCAACATGATGGAGTCTTCATGGGACCTGATTGTCTCCACCATCCAACAGGTGTGTTTGTGTGCGTGCGTGCACGTGTGTGTGTGTACGTGGATGTTTGAAAGTTGTACTGGTCTGGCGTGAAGCCTGAACTTGGCCGCTGCGCGAATGTGAATCAGAGCACACACACACACACACACACACACACACACACACACACACACACACACACACACACACACACACACACACACACACACACACACACACACACACACACACACACACACACACACACACACGCACACACACACACACACACGCACACACACGCACACACATACCACCTGTGTTCAGATTGTTGCGATATTGGACCTTGACGGCGGGGAGCAGCCGCCGCGCTCGGGCCACATCCGAAAACCATCGCTCACGTCTGCAACGACACGCAAAGGGCACAGGTGCGTGTGTGCGCGAGAATGTGCACATATGTGTGTATGTGATACAACCGCTGTGCCAGAAGAGCGGTGGCTGTAACTGAATAGCGAAGGGTCACGAGTTGCAAACCCATGTCGGCATACGCTGTGAACACCTCACATGCACGCACGCACGCACGCACACTCACATACACACACTCACATACACACTCTCATACGCGCATGCACACGTGCGCAGGCGGACGGGGAGCGAAACAGTCGTGGCCATCAGTGGATCAACGGCGTCTGAACTGCCGGCGCTGAGTGCAATGCTGGCACAGGTGAGCCCTCGTGCTGCTGCGCACGCGTATCGCCATCAGCATTTGCGTACACAGCCTCCGTTGTGTGGATATGAATGTGCCTCGGTTCGTTGCTGTGTGTGTATGTGTGTGTGTGTGTGTGAAGTGAGTATTTTGTATTAATGTGTACGATTTGCTACGCTGCTGGTGTGAAGACGTGCTCACTCTTACTTTGCGTGTGTGTCAGCTGTTTCAAATCACACACACGATGAGCGACGAGGCGTTGGGATATCTCATGGCGGCGCTCTGGCACCAGTCAGAGGCAACGCTGGAGCAGGTGTGCGGCCGTGTGTGTGCGGCCGTGTGTGTGTGCATGCTGATGTGTAGTTTACACCTGTGTCAACATCTACATACATCGTTGTGTGGATTTGTTCTCATTGCGCCTCAACGACCCGCAGCTCTTCACCTTGAATTGCATTCAAACACACACACACACACACAACACACACACACGCTCATACACACACTCACTCACTCACTCACTCTCTCTCTCTCGCTCACTCACCCACAACACACACACACACACACACACACATTACGTTTTGGCGCAGGTGTCACTTGCTGGTGTGAATCACGTCGTGTTCCGTCACGATGCGTTCCTGTTCCCTGTGTCGAAGCTGTTGGAGGTCGGGCTTGCCAACCTGGACCGCATCATGGTCTTCTGGCCAATGGTCACCGCACACCTGATCGAGGTGCGCTGTGTGTTGCTGGTGCTCTTTGTGTTCTTTGTGCCCGTTTGTCTGCTTGTGCTCGAGGGTGAAATACTGCGTGTTATGAAATGTATCGTTTCGCTGTTGAAATCTTATCCTTGCTGACACACACACACACATTCACACACATTCACAAACACACACACACGCAATACGATACAATCACCACCATGCAGGTGTCGTGCCACAGCCATCCCGGCCTTCGCCAGCAGGGCGTGACGGCGCTCACCCGCCTCATTCACGCCGCCCTCTCGCATCCGCGCCAGCCGCCAATCCAGGACAACCCAGGCCTGCAGCAGGTACCGCGCTCACACTTGTCACATGTGTGTGTATGTATGTATGTGTGTGTGTGTGTGTGTGTGTGTGTGTGTGTGTGTGTGTGTGTGTGTTCAATTGGCCTTGCCCCCCCCCTTGTTGTCTCTCCTTGGCTCTCCTGATCACAGCACCACTCATTGTTTGTTTCCCGTCATTCCTCTGTGTATGTGCAGGCCATTTTGTCGCCACTACGAAATCTTGCATCATGCCCCCATCTGCAAACGCGGCGCCAGCAGCTGGAATGCGTCATGCAGGTGCACATGATGCACCTCCTTGCTAGTTTGGCTGTTAGCTATTAGCATATTTTCCCTCATGCAACCGAGTTACAGTGTTGTGTCCATTCACTCGCTCACGTCTACCCCCCCCCCTTCCCCCCTCCCCCTCTCCATGTCGTTTTGCCCGTCCCCTCCTCTTCCTATCATCACCCGCCACCACGCCATCTGCTCTCTGTCAGGTTCTTGACTCCTCTGGCCCGTCGCTTGCGCATGCGTGGCCGGTGGTGATTGGGATCATCTCAGACACCGTTGCCGGGAACACGCGCGTGACAGATGCAAGCATCATAGCGCTTGCGTTTGAAAACCTGCAGCTCATTGTGCAGGATTTTCTGCCCTCTCTTCCCGTCCGCTGCATGCTGATGCTGTTGCGGACAATCGGACACTTTTGCCGGCAGCAGGTGGCTGTCAACGTCGCCCTCACCGCTGTTGGGCTGCTGTGGAATGTGGCAGACCACGTGTCGCACAACCGCGTTGTGCTGCAGGAGCACATCGAGCTGCGATTGAAGGAGGACAGCGTGTCCAGCGAGGCGGACCTGGCTGGACACCCTGTCCACCACCGCCGGGAAGTGGACGCCGATGGGCTCCCGCGCCACGTGACCATCGGCGGTATCTGGCGCCTCATCTACGAGCAGCTGGCCGCGCTGTGTCTGGATGAGCGCGTGGATGTGCGGCGAAGCGCCAGCCAGACGCTGTATCCGACGCTGAAGACACACGCGCACCTCTTGCCGCCGGCAGAGCTGAAGAGCGTGATTGACGACGTAATTTTGCACACGCTGCGCTGCGTGGTGCAAGACCGCGTCCTGTGTGAGCCAGACACGACGACCAAGGACGATGATCAAAACAACCAACACAGCAACACCACCGTCGCCCGAGCTAAGACGGCATCCGACAGCCCGCTGGCCAGTGGTGTGTTGGTGCAGCACCACTCGACGACAGACAAGAAGCTGTGGGCAGAGACGAAGAGTCTTGCCGTGTCCGGCTCTGCACATGTGTTTGTGAGCGCACTTGAGCAGTTGTTGCAGTGCGACGGGTTTACGCGGTCGTGGTCGATGCTGCTGTCGCTTGTGCAGTCGCTGCTTGAGGACGAGACGGATGCCGTGGCGCTGGCATCGGCCAATGCCCTCACCAACCTGATTCGCGCGGTGGAAGGCGGGCACGAGGGCGGTGGTGCCAGTACACATGCCGCAACAATGCAGCAGGCACTGCGGGATGCGTTTGCAGCGTGGACGTCGGCGTGTATGCGCTTACCGGATCGACAGCCGCCGCACCGCACCCGCACGCTAGTGGCTGTTGTGGGCTGCATGCGACCAAGCCTCGGTCACCTCCGCAGCGTGTTGTCGACAGAGGAGGTGGCGCGGGCGACCGAGTGCTTGTTTGTTGTCGTCTGCCAGCAGGCGTCCGATGCGCTGTATTTGACGCGAGCAAACGAGGTGCAGGAGGAAGTGTTGGCGACGCTGCTGCTGCTTGTGCCGAGTGCCGACTACCCGCACCCTGACGCGCACCACGTGCCGCTGGTGCTGCTGCAGCTTGTCCGCTACACGGCGCTGGTCAACTCGCCGCCCTGGCTCCTGCGTGGGCGCAACTGTTATGTCGGGTTTGCCGTCGACTGCATTGGCGCATTTGTCACGCAGTTTTGCAGCTACTCCGAGGAGGCGGCTGTGATTCGTTCGGGAGCTGCGCGCGCGTTCTTGGCCGCGCTCACGCCCATCGTGGACGCGCGCTATGCGGGGCCAAGCGTTGCGCTGTGGGAGGTCGCCATGGATGCTGTTGTTGCCATCATCGACTATGGCCTGCGCGGGTTGGCTGCCTCGGCACAGCACACCGATGCAGCCATTCAGAAGGTTACTGGTACGTTCACCTGGTGTGTTTGATGGAGGGAAGCGGGCAGAAAGCAGTTGTTTGGGGATGGCAGAAAAAGAGAGAGAGTGTGTGTGTGTGTGTTTGTGTGTGTGTGTGTTTGTGTTTGTGCGTGTGTTTGTGTTTGTGTGTGTGCGTGTGCGTGTGTGTGTGTGTTCCTTGGGTGGGTGTATCTGTTGTGTGTTTCATGCTTTCAGACACGCGGCATCCTCACTGTCATAATGTCAAATGCCCCTCTCACATACTCACACACACACACACACACATGCACGTCCATTTGTCAGAGGAGCTGTGGGAGCAAGTGATTGTTGTGATTGAAGCGGCGTTGTTTCCGTCACACCCGGCTGCTCTCACCAAACCGGAGGGTGTGGATGTGTCCAAGATTGCGGACCACGAGCAGCTTGACATCGACCTCGTCAAGTACGCGCCACTTGTACATGGACTTGTACGCAACAACCCAGCATTCATTCAGTCCTGCACATCCTCATGCACACACGCGCACACACATATGCACTCGCACACGCACACACACACGGTCTCTCTCGCTCTCTCTCTCCCTCCTTCCTTTCTCCTGTCTCGCCGTCACTCACTCGCTCACTGACTCACTTGCGCATGATGCCTCACGCGTGTTCAGGCTGGTGTGTGAGGCGATTCTGCCGCACACGTCCGCTGCGTCCACCCGGGGATCGTCACGGGCCGGCGTTGATGTTGTTGTGCCGGCGCCTGTGCTTGCCAAGGTGACAGACATCCTTCGCCGCGGATCAGTGAACATGCTCAAGCGCATGGGCAGCCGCGGTGTTGACAGCGGCGGTAATGGCGATCATGGCGATGGTCACGATGGTCGCGCTGGTGCTGAGCAGGCGAGTGGAGATGGCGGCGGCGTGAAGGCAGAGGAACAGAAGCGCTACGACACGTCGTCGCACTACTCGTTGTCACAGCGGGCGGGTGCGCATGGCGTGCTGCGTCGTGCGTTTGCAAAGGCGTGCTTCCAGGCGCTCGTGGACTGCAGTGCAACGACTTCAACAGCAGCAACGACAGCAGGGACCGTTACGGCGACCAGCGGTGCCAGGGATAACCACAGCGACCCCGAGAGCACCAGCGGTGTGAGCGGTGGGGAAGCGGTTGGAACCACAACGGCGCCCGTATCGTCGCCAGCGGCAACGTCAGCGTGGGATGGGGTTGGCGTGCGGGAGATGGCAGAGGAGTGCGCGCGCGTGCTTGAGAAGCACATGCCCGTGCTGACAAGCTATGAGCTGACAGACCAGGATGCGGATGAGGTGCTGTTTGTGGTGAGCGCGTGTGCGTCGCTGGTGACGCCGCGCCACCGTGCGCTGGCCAGGACGCTCTTCCCGCTGCTGGTGGAGGCGTGCGCCTGCTCGCGCCCAGACGTGGCACGTGCTGTGCGGGGCGTCCTTTCCTTGTACCAGGCCTTGCTCTAACATGTGTGTGTGTTTGTGGAGAGAACACGTGCATGTTGTGTTGTGTGACATGTGTGCTTGTTTGAGGTTGCGACAGGCGACAGGTGAAAATAAACAAACAACAGCGCAACAACACACGACAAAGGCAAGCATGGCGTGGCAGTCTGTGGTGAATGCAGTGAAGCGGTCTGTGGCCGGTGCAGCCAAGAGGCTGATGGGCCCGCCAGACTTCAGTCGCTCGAAGCCCTTTGCACTGTTCCAGTTCCGCACGGCCAATGACCTCAAGCAGTGGGTGTGCACCTCGGATAAGAAGGCGTTTGGCGGCCACTCCACCGCCAAGTGAGTGCATGTGTGTGTGTGTGAGTGCATGTGTGTGTGTGTGTGTGTGTCTGTCAGTCTGTGTGTGTGTGTGTGTGTGTGTGTGTGTGTGTGTGTGTGTGTGTTCGTGCGCGCGCTCGTGTGTGTCTGTCTGTCTGTGTGGCTTTTGATTTGCATACAAGGTGGTTCATGTGAGCTGCAGCTCATTGCAATCGTGATGCACATGTTGCAGGGTGGAGGTAATGCCGGAGGGATACGTGAGGTTCTCAGGCAACCTGTCCACGAAGCTCCCATCCAATGCAGACGTCGTACGCTCAGGCTTTTGCCTACTTCGCACACAACGACCAAAGGTGCGCATGTGTGCAAGGGTGTGCAGGGGTGTGCAGGGGTGCGTTGGTGCGTGCAGGTGTGGTTATGCCTCGCCGGTCTCTGGCCACGCTTTGTTCATCTTGCCACTTTGCCTCATTAACCCCCGCCCCTTCTTTCTCTCTCTTGCTCCCAATCCTCTTCCCACGACCCTAACTCCACCGACGCGCGTCTGCTCGCAGCCGAAGCTGTTCGGCGACACATACATCAAGCTTGGAACACACAACGCGATTGAGTTTGAGATCCGAGGGGACGGGCGCGCGTACATTGCAAACCTGCAGCCAGACACATACAGGGAAGAGGATCTGCATCAGGCCACCATTTACACACGCGGCGGGCCGCACTGGCAAACCGTACAGGTAGCGTTGTGTGTGTGTATATATGTGTGTGTGTGTGTGTGTGTGTGTGTGTGTGTGTGTGTGTGTGTGTGTGTGTGTGTGTGTGTGTGTGTGTGTGTGGTACTTCACAGCCACGACGGCCATCTGCTGCTGCTACTGCTACAACGGCTGCTACTGTTGCTGCTGCTACTGTTGTGACTGCTGTGACTGCTACGACTGCTGCATTTGCATCCACTCACCTGACTGCTCCTTTGCCTTCTCTCCTCACGGCCCCCCCCCACATTTTGCCGCCATCGCTACTGCCGCTACTGCTATGACAGATACCGCTGACAGAGTTCCTGCTGACGTATCGCGGGTATGTGCAGAACGAGCAGTCGATCATCAACGGGGACAAGATCAAGACGCTTGGCATCCTACTCGCCGACGCACGCGACGGCCCGTTCCAGCTGGACATTCGAGAGATTCGCGCAGTGACCATGGTTGATGCCGACCCGCGCATGGACAGGACACGCGCGCGCATGAAGACGGAGTGGGCCCCGCACGGCACGGAGAATGGCAAGGATACAGCGACGACGACGACGACGACGACGACGACGACGACACAGACACAGACACATGCGGGAGCAAACGCAGACTCATCCGACTCAGATTCAACCTCAGATTCAGCGCAGTCGCAACGCAGCGGCAGCGGTAGTGGTAGTGAGCCGCATAGGGGGTAAACTGGTGACGCATTGCTAGCTAGCTGCTGTGCTCTGTGACCTGTATATATGTGTGCAAGGATGAGCGTGTGTGTTCTCAGTTCCCCTTGTGTGTGACTGTGTTCAGTTCAGACGTGGCCAAAACGCTTTTGTTTCATGGCTGCACACACACACACACATGTAAACGATTCAATGCTGAACGAATGTAGCAGCAGCACGCACGCACGTACGAGCGAGACAAGAAGCAAAGCAAGCAAGACACAAGAGGCTTTCACCCGAACAATGTGACGACTGCCAAATGCCATCCATACACAGTCACCAGCACCCATGACAAGGGCTCGGAGACAGAAGCTGGGGGCGATGCCACGCAGATACAGGGCAAAGGCGGAAGGGAGAGGGGGGGGGGTGGATCAGGTAACAGCAACAGCAGCAGGCGGACGGGAAAGGAGAAGAAGAGCCAGCTGCGAAACAGACAAGGCGCGAGAGAAGACAGCAAAAGTGGTGAAACCACAACCGTAATGCATCATCGTCATCATCACGTGTGACGAATGAGCTTTGCGGCCTCTGCCTGCGCCTGGTGATCGTCCTCGTTTGTTGCGGTCATATCCAAACACGCCTGCAGCCACCTGCAAGACACAAACGGCGACGTGTGGTGGGTGCTCAGCGCGTTAGCGTTCTTGGCGATTGTATGCACAGCACGAGGGATCGGCACAAACCAAAACGACAAAGAATGAACACACACACACACACACACATGGACGCAGGCAGCAGTCATGCACTCACTTCCTTGCTTCGGCTTTGTTGTGCAGTCGCAGGTGGGTCTTCCCCAGGTACATTGCATTCTTCGTGTAGAAGCCGGGGTCCACTGCCAACAACCAAACACACACACACACACATACACACATGCGTCGGGACATGAACAGCAGTAACACGTCGTGATGAAGAGTAAGCCACGCAGGATGAACGAGTGGATGTGAGCGGATGTACGAGGTATCGGTGACCACGCACACGTGTGCGTACGCACGAACATGCACACGCGCATACAGACACAAACTACTGACGCACGTTTTTCTGCCTGTTCAAAGTGCTGGAGAGCCTCCTCGTATGTGCTGGTTGGCGGAGTTGCAAACAGGGCGGCTGCCGCCTTGCGCTGGTACCTGTCGGATGCACAACACGACCGCGAGCATGGTGGTGTGCGGTTGACCAAACCTAACCAATCAACAAAAGGGCGATGTCAATGTCATCGCGCGCACACACACACACACACACACACACACACGCACACATACAGACAGGTACACACACACGCACACACATGTACATGTAGTTGTCGCACAGTACAGTACAGCGGGATTACCAAGGCATATCAGCGAAGGTGAAACACCAGACACCGAGCAGATGGCGTGAGGTCGCATCTTGGGGGTTCAGCTCACACGCACGTTCAAAGTGCGCCTGAAGGGCGGTCATGTTGTGTATTGTGGGGTGTGTGCACATGGGTGAGCGAATGTGTGTGTGTGTGTGTGCACGGAAGCAAAACACACACGCATAGGCGCACATTCGCTCACATTTACTCGCTCACTCGTGCATACTTCACACAATACACCCTCCACACCGCACACACACACACACCTTGATCTTGTAAGCATCCAGCAGCTGTTGTTTCGAGCCAAGGTATTCACCGGTGGCATTGGTCATGATTGCCACCCACTACACACACGAACACACACACGAACACACACAAAACACACACACACACACACACACACACGCACACACACACACACACACACACACACGAACACACACACACACACACACACACACACACACGAACACACACAAAACACACACACACACACACGAACACGAACACACACATACACACCAGTATCAAGCAGTGTCGGGGATTATGGTGAGTGACGCTGACATTAAGGAGAAGCACGCAAAAGCCGAAGCAGAAGCAATCAATCGTTTGATGCCTGCAGATACAACGGTGCACTTTGGCTCGGGTGTTCTTCAGAACATGCAACAACGTGCTGGAGCCACAGCTCAACGTGACGACAACAGCGACAATGACATCTGACAACACGTCGACCTTGTGACTGCCAAACGAGCGGTCGTCCAACTCAACAGCCTCCTTGGCCGCTTCAAAGCCCTGCACAGATGCGCATGGCACGGACATGATCAAGTCGGGGAGGGGAAGCCACACTCATGTCATAGGCAAAGTGGCCTCGCATCATGAACCATTCATGGGTGCACGTGAACACGCGAGCGCACATGCACGTGTACACCAACACCAAGACGTGTATGCACGTTTGTGGGTGCAGATGCAAAGGTTTTGTGCAAGCAGCAAGCGCTCGCGCACCACCGCACCTCGAAGATGAGGCGCTTCTTCTCCTTCTTGTCCGACACCTCTGTGGAATAGTCACGACATGCGCGGGCATAGCGCCAGAGCACCTCTGCGTGGCGCTCGCCTCCATTCTTCAGGTAATCGCCAACCATGTCGTAGATGGCCTTTGGGGAGGGGAGGGGGCCGCGGTGTCGCAAGTATACAGACAGCCCATGAGGGGTGTGATGGGGGTGGGTTGTCAAGTGCAACATTTGCACGTATGTGCTCACACTCGTGATGTATGTGCTCACACTCGTGATGTATGCGCTCACACAAGTGATGTATGCGCTCACACTCGTGATGTATGCGCTCACACTCGTGATGCATGCGCTCACACTCGTGATGCATGCGCTCACACTCGTGATGCATGCGCTCACACTCGTGATGCATGCGCTCACACTCGTGATGCATGCGCTCACACTCGTGATGCATGCGCTCACACACACTCACACACACAGACACACTCACACACACAGACACTCACACACACAGACACACACACACACACACTCACTCACAAGCACACACTCACACACACTCACACACACTCACAAGCAAACAAGCAAACACACACACGCGCACCTTTGGGTTGCTGCCGTACATGTTTTCTGCTTCCTGCGCAACGGCAAGTGGCGTCTGCTGTTCAGCAGCAGCGCTCACCACCACAAGCGGTGACGCTCCAACAAGCACGTTGTCGTTGGAATTGGATGCAGCAGCAGCAGCAGCAGCAGCAAGTGCCACGGCGGCGCCAGTGGCGACCACACCACCCATGCTCGCTGCAGCACGACGCCATCCCGTGTTCACGCGAGCTGTGCTTGCGAACCGCGCCAACCCCATCCCCATCCTCATCCTCATCACAGCACCACCACCACAGGCACGGCGCACTCCAATGCGCAGCAGCGTCATCATCATTGCTTTTGCTTTGGGCGAACTCCACTGGCGGATATGAGCTGCCGAAAGTTGGCGGCCACGTTCCTGATCTTCCACTTGGTGGTGTTTGTTTGTGTTTGACGACGTGCAATGCTTGCGATCTCAACACGAGCAAAGCAGTCAGTGAACAAAACAGAGGGTGAAGCAGGCATGCAAGCCACCACCTCATGCACATGCACGCATGCACGCATGCACGCGAGTGGGAAGCAAGTAAACGGCGGGGTTAGGGGGATAGAGAACAGCAAAGAACGTAGGAAGGCAGACAGACACAAACACACAAACACACACGAGAAGAAAAGCATGGTAACACCACATCATCACACCACACGATCAAAATTATGCGATTGCCACACCATCAACCACACGCACACGATCAAAACCACAAGGTCCGCGCACATACACACAGCAAGGTCGACAGAGAGCACGGATCGCAAACGGCAGGGAGAGCGATTACACGGTGGTGAAGCGCACGCCAATGTTGCGGCAGGTCTTGGCGAGCTGATCAATAATGACGGAGGCGTCCTTGGCAGGCAGGCGGCCGCCCCAGCCCTCGTGGTCCCGCAGGTCGTGGTCGCTCTTGCGGTAGCGCAGGCTCTTGACAATCTTGCGGAACTGGCCGTTGACGTACTTGCGGAGCCCATCCGGCGAGTTGCAGAACATGACGCGATCGCCGTCATTGTCCACATACGCCACAGCCTCGTAGGAGCGGAAGCGCACGCCGTGCTCGGCGCACATGAGGCGCAGGTCATTGATCACGCGGGAGCGGTCCTTGGCGGCAATCTTGCCGCCCCAGCCGTCTTGGTCACGCAGGTCGCCATCGATGGGGCGGTAGTCGAAGCGCGTCACCGCCTTGCGGAACTGCTTGTTCACAAACTTGCTCAGGCCAGATGGGGTCACCTGGAACGCGATGGCATCGCCGTCGTGGTCGACGAAGCTCGTCTCACGAGGAACCACCTTGGCGGCCTCGTGCTGAGCAGGCGTCGGGGCCGACCCGGTCTTGGGCTTCACGCCGAGCTTGTCGAGCTTTTCCACGAGCTCCTCCAGGTTGTCGCGCATGTGGCGGTCCGAGGTCATGCGCACGTACAGGTGGGAGCCGAGCTCCATGCCGAGCGGGCCCTCCCACTTGCGGGTGTCGAGGGCAGCATCCTCCATGACGATGGGGATCATGCGGGTGGTAGTGCGGCGCATGACGGCGTAGTTGAACTCCTTCTTGCAGTTGTCATCGTGTTCTGCGTTGACCTTGGAGATGTAGCGCTTGGTCACAAACACAAGCACGACCTGGGACCCATCAATGCCCTTGCACATCTGCTGCACGATGTGGCCTGACATCCGCTCCTCGTCAAACCAGGTGTTGAACCCATACGCCTTGAGCATCGTGTTCACCATGGCCACGCGATCGTGGTTGTTGCGGCCCTCGCCGTCAACGCCCCAGTCGTGCGTCAGGAACACGTCAAACTCAGACATCGTGTGCGTGCGTGTGTGTATGGAGTGGGGGGGGGGGAGGGGCGCGTTGGTGTGTTTTGGCGATAGGTTGGGAAGCAAGCAAAATAAAATGAAGCGCGTTTTGCACAACAGCAAATAAAACTGTATGTTGGAGTGGTTGTGGTTGGATTGTGTTGAATTGTTTTGGTTTACTTGTCAGAGAACCCGAGAACACAACAGCGAGAGAGACGGGGGCAGAGAGACAGAGAGACAGAGAGAGACAGAGAGAGACAGAGAGACAGAGAGACAGACAGAGAGACAGAGAGACAGAGACAGAGAGACAGAGAGACAGAGAGACAGAGAGAGACAGAGAGACAGAGAGACAGAGAGACAGAGAGACAGAGAGACAGAGAGAGACAGAGAGACAGAGAGACAGAGAGACAGAGAGACAGAGAGAGAGAGACAGAGAGACAGAGAGACAGAGAGACAGAGAGACAGACAGAGAGACGGCAAAGCGGCAGAGCGGCACATTTGCACACAACGTACACGCTCACTCACCCACTCGCTCACAAGCATCCCCTTCAAACACCTACTACACACATGGCGTGCAATCATCACGCATTGAGCACCTCGAGGGCGTTGTCGAGATCAACAAGCTTGGTAAAAAGCGACTCCAGCGCCGACTGGCAAATCTTCTCTGGCGGCATGGCGCCCGTGCTCTCCACCGTCATGTAGAACGTGTCGGCGGTGCCGTCGGGGTCGTAGTCCGCCTCGTGCTTGTCGTCGTCTGTCAGCTGCGAGTACTCGCTGCGCGGCCACATCTCCGGGTGCTCGTAGAAGGTGTGGCGAAGGGCGTTGTCGGGGTCGTACTCGTATGCAACCGCCGCCGTCGGGATCCACTTGGCATGCTCCTAACGGTGTGTGTGTGTGTGTGTGTGTGTGTGTGTGTGTGTGTGTGTGTGTGTGTGTGTTGTGTGTGTGTGTGTGTGTGTGTGTGTGTGTGTGTGTGTGTGTGTGTGTGTGTGTGTGTGGAAGAGGAAGGAGCAAGAATCATGTCAGGCGATGAACGACAAACATAAGCACGTTGAGTGGTGACAAGCACACAAGCAGCTTTCATACATACACACGCACACACACCTTGCCGACACCCTTGCGTGCGTAGCAGGTGAGCTTGAGCTCCTGCCCCTGCCGAATCTTGCAGATGACAATGTGGTTTCCCTGGATGGACTGGTCTCGCCTCTCTGCAGCCGTCGCAACCTGGCAGTTGCATGCACGTGTGTTTTTTGTGTAGTTGTGCGAGTGAGCGAGTGTGTGTGTGTGTGTTTGTGGCAACGTGCCGTTGCAGAGTCGTGACAAACCAACCACATCATCATCATCATCATCATCATCATCATCATCATCATCATCATCATCATCATCATCATCATCACCTTCTTCTTCTTCTTCTTCTTCTTCTTCTTCTTCTTCTTCTTCTTCTTCTTCTTCTTCTTCTTCTTCTTCTTCTTCTTCTTCTTCTTCTTCTTCTTCTTCTTCTTCTTCTTCTTCTTCTTCTTCTTCTTCAATGCCACACAGCTCTCGCTCGCTCCCTTCCGCCCAATCCTCACATCCTCACCACCTATGCCCTCCCTCCTTTCGTCCAGCGGTGACGTACGGGGACAACGGATGTGTCTGGTCCATCGAGGGTGCTGCGAAGGTGCTCCGTTGTCACCTCCATCTGATGCTGCAATTGGGAACGCGACGATGGCATGATCAAAATCAAACGTGACCATGACATGATGCACATGCAAACACAAGCTCAGGCACACAAGCACAACCACACAACAATACACACACACGCAAAAATACACACAAGAATACATTGCACACACACACACACGCACACACGCACACATACCGCATCTCTGCAAGCGACGTGAAGCTCGAGCTTTACAACGCAGTTGGGGCAGCCGGCGTCACACGTGCAATCCTGAAAAGGGTGAATGATAAACGGCAAACCAGCAGTGTTGGTCATTGAAGCACAATGCAGCGGTTTGGTCAGTGCATGGTGTGCAAAGTCGGCAATACACAAGCGTTACTATCGCACACCCCTACGCGCCTTCATTCACGCACACACATGTGCATACACGCACACACATACACACACACGCACACAGATTCACACGCACTCATAAAGGTTACTCGCTCACAAGCACGCACGCATGTGCACGAAGGCGCACCCGCATGTAGTTGAAGTGTGCAGCGCGTTCGCTGGTCAGCGGAATGAGACCGAGACGATGCGCAATGAACTCGTCTGAAGGAAAACCAACCCAAGAGATGAAGGAAAGCAAACAGTGGTGGCGTGCGAGTGAAAATGCAATCCGGGGTTGCTCGCACACATAAGACACCGAGCACAACACGGAACTCCGTTGAGTGGAGGCACCTCATTGTGTGAGAACCCACCACGCACATGCACACACATGCACACACATGCACACACATACACACACACACACATGCACAGTTCAGCGTAACAAACGCACCATGCAGTACGGTTGTGTTGATTTCGATGTGCACGTCGTCAATGGCCAATGTTGGCACCTCCGCAATCATTGACCTTCAGTTGCAGTTCGCGAGGCAGGAGAGTGGAAAGTGGAGTGTTTGTACCATGAACGTCAAATTGGCCACAGCAACAAGGAGTGACATGCAAACAACGGTTGCTCTTCTGTGCTCGTACACGGTTGTTCGTAAACACGCTTTCGCAGACACACAAGAGCACATTGCATGTATCACAGCACAGGCACACTGATGTACACTGACGTAAACTGGCGTACACTGGTGCACTGATGTACACATACATGCACACTACACACACGTATGTACACACACGACACACGTATGCACTACACACACGTACGCGCGCACACACACACACACACGCGCGCGCGCGCGCGCGGACCAACCTGCGAAAGCTGTTGGCCAGGGCTGTGTCTGCGTTGGAGAGCTGAAGCTTGATTTCCGAGTCGGTCAGAGACATGATCCGCACTTGCGGATCGCGGTTGAACGACGCCATGCTCCTTCGTACCGCGTCACCTCACCAAACACTCCTCCTCCCCTTTACTTGAACCCAGGCAAGGCAAGCAACCTACAGCACACACACACACACACAGCACACACACACACACACAACCTCAAGCACGCACGACAAACAACAACGACAAGAAGCAGGTTCAACGCGCGCGAGTGGAGCGGGTGCGCAGTCGTCTGTATGGTTATGGAAGATTCGATGATATTTTCCAACAACAATCGGCGGGCTGCGGAGGATGCTGAGGCTGCTGCTGTGCTTGTGTCGCGTTGGTGTTGGTAGTGCGAGACTGCGTGCATTGGGGTGCAACACCAGCATCATGGCTGCGAAGCGGAGCGCAAGTCAGATTGCCTGTGACGGCACACGGCAGGCGCATGTTACATCGCCCATGCCACATGCTGCTTTGTACGTGGGCGATGAGGCGTCGGACATTGGGGAAAGCGTGGCGAAGATCGCCTGCGTGTCACACAGCCCACCAACAACACCAACAACACCAACAACGCCAGCAGCAACCACACGAGCCACAGCCGCAACACCAGCGGTCACAGCAACGCACACAGTAGTAGCAGCGCCCACGCCAGACACAACACACACGCCGTCCCACTGCTCAACATCATCGACAGAATTAACACGTTGTGCCAGGAACAACAGCGCCAGTAACGCTCTCCCAACCTCAAAGAGAGCACTCTCAACAACCCGGGCTGCAAGGAAAGCCAAAGCCCCAGCGCACCCTGTTCCAAGCGTCATGGTCTGGGTTGGGCTAGGAAACCCCGGCAGTGCATACAAGCACACGCGGCACAACCTCGGCTTTATGGCTCTGGACGCTGTGGCTGCTGCAAAGTCGCTCACATGGACCAAGGACCGCAAGTGCAAGGCCATGACGTGCTCCTTCGAGACGGGCGGCGTCAAAGTGCACATGCTCAAGCCCCTCACTTATATGAACCTGAGCGGGGACGCGGTACGCAGCTTCCTCCGCTACGCCAAGCCACTCGCCAATGCGGAAACCGCACAGTCCAAGACGGGCGGTGGTGGCAGTGCAGCGGCAGCCCGGTGTGTGCTGGCCGTGTGCGATGACCTTGACCAGCCGCTCGGGAGAATGAAGCTGAAGTTGAAGGGGTCCGCCGGCGGCCACAACGGGCTCAGGTCCATTGAGCAGCGGCTGGCATCGCAGGAGTACATGCGGCTGCGGCTTGGGATTGGGCCGATGGCTGGGCGAACCACCACGGCCAAGCGCGCTGTGCAGGACTTTGTGCTCACGCACTTTGCGTCGGATGAGCAGGACGCGCTGGAGCGTGTGGTGGCGCATGCGCGCGATGCGTTGCTGCTGCTCACGCGTGAGAACAACTTGGACAAGTGTATGACTGCCATCAATGACAAAGCGAGCCCCTTCCAAGTGACGTGATCTCACCGTCGTCCTCCCAATCACCCGCACTGTTTGTGTGTGTGTGTGTGTGTGTGTGTGTGTCTGTCTGTCTGTCTGTGTGTGTGTGTTTGAATTGAAAGTTGCCAAGGCTTTGTGTATTGGTGGTGTGTATTGTGGTAGGCTTTGATATTAAGACGTCCAAATTAATTAGCAGGTCGGTTATGTGCCCGTTAAAAAAAAACACAATCGTCACTGCTCTCTCCAACCCTCAAAGTGAAGTGCTTCATCACAACCACTATTAACCACCATCAGTCACACTCACCAACGACCACCATAAGTCACACTCACCAACGACCACCATCAGTCACACTCACCAACGACCACCATCAGTCACAACCACCAACGACCACCATCAGTCACAACCGCCAACGACCACCATCAGTCACAACCGCCAACGACCACCATCAGTCACAACCACCAACGACCACCATCAGTCACAACCGCCAACGACCACCATCAGTCACAACCGCCAACGACCACCATCAGTCACAACCACCAACGACCACCATCAGTCACAACCACCAACAACCACCATCAGTCACAACCACCAACGACCACCATCAGTCACAACCGCCAACGACCACAATCAACCTATCAACCACCACAAACCACTGCCGTAAACTGCTACAACAGCACCCTCCTCCCTTTCCCATTCTCACTTCTCTGCCGTATGGATGCAGCCAGCAATGGCACGACGACAAGCGGGACATGACTTGCCAGCAGTTGTGGTCGCGTCATGTGCGCATTCCGCACAGCACACCTGGTGGCGGCACGGAAGGAAGATGACAGTTGCAGGTGCACCCCAACAGATGAGGCAGCTGCCTTCGCGGGTCTGATCAATGGCTGCGTGCACAGCACGCACACGGTTCTCTTCATCAACAAGCACGGCATCCACCACGCGCAACTTCCTCTCCACCGCATCGATCTGTGGCTCTTCATCCTCCCCGTCTCCTTCTTCCTCTCCTAAATCGTCCTGCTGTGCTGGTGTGGATGGGGAACTTGGCTGCGTGTGACTGACTGCCTCCAGCGTGCACACAAACGGCACAACACCGCATGCCGACCCTTGCCCTGCCGACTCATCCACGGCATCAGTGGTGCTGATGGCGCTTCTGCATTGACTGCCATCTCTGCTGTCGTTGCTGCGTGCAAGTTGGTTTCCATCACCACCACCACCACCACCACCACCACCACCACCACCGCGAATTCCAACTTCCCCCTCCACGTCCTCTCCTTCATCATGGCTGCTGCTTGTTGAGGCCCTGTCGTCATCCGTGCTGCTGTCCGTTTCACTGCCCGTACTCTTCTCTTTCGCGCCTGAGCTGATGACGCAGGTGTATGTCTCCGTTGGGGCCTCCACATTGTCTACAAACTGTAGGGAGAAGCGATGCTGGTTCGTGGGCGACTGAGGCAATGACGTCGCACTGCCATCGTCTGCCTCGTTTGTCGCACTGCCAACACTGGCAACGTAGTGCTGTGAAATCCGGGCGTAGCCTGCAGGTGGTGAGCCCATGTTGAGCACTGGCAGGAGCTGTGGTTGCACTGGCTGCTGAGGCTGCCCTTGCTTTTCATGCTGCCCTTGTGAGTGCTGGCCATGTTCGGCGGCACGCAAAAAGGCCACAGCCTGGCGAGGATCAACACGACCACGCAGAACACAAATGACAGTGTTTGGGCGTGCACAGCCCTGGAGATGCAGGTGTTTGCGTCCTGTTGAAGATGAGGTGCAGATTGACGCGCCGTCCACGATGCCAGCGAGCAGCACGTCTGAGGCCACGGTGGTTGTGTTGGTTGACCAGTCTCCTCGAGCACGACTGGCAGCCAGTTCGTCAAGAGCGCGTGCATTGTGCTGAGCAGCACGCTCCCGCGCCGCTGCGATCGCTGTGCCCACTCGGTTGTGCCTGCCAAAGAGGAAGGCTGCTACTCGCTGCTGAAGCGGCAAGTGCTGTTGCCGAGGTGTTCCATCGCCTACGACTTGCGCCTCTCCACGCAGCAGTTGTCCCTGCTGTCTACCAAACACAGCCCACCACCACGCGGCAGCAACGCACACGACCATGGCCGCAATCCACGTCCAAGCCACGCCACCTGGAGCATCCTGCTTCGGCTCGTGCTGCTGCTCCTGCTGCAGTTGGTGTTGGTGTTGCTGATGATGCCGCCACACAAAACCATCCCTGCCCAGCATGATCGCAGCCCCCAACACAGCCACAGCCGCAGCAAGCAGCAACGTCCTCGTCATCATTTTGCCGATGATCTGCGAATGATATCCCCAATGTTTCAGGAAGCGGAAGAGCGAGTGCGGGCGTTGGTGCGGGAGGAGGTGGATGGCCTGCGCCGCGAGTTTGATGTGTTGCGCAGGGAGTGCGAGCAGTTCACGCAGGAGTGCAG